ATGCAGTTCTTGCCTCTCTGCCTTGAATCCAAGACATAGCCTCTTCTAGGTAAGCCTTTTCTCTGCCCGACAAAAATTCAGTTCAGACATCATCTATTCAAAACCTCCCGATTCTCCTCACCACCAGACCACAAGCCCTGTGCTGCTCTCCACCACCGCCCCTTCTCACCATATCAAACCATCTGTTCACCAGTGTCACTCCCTCTGTGCACAGAGACCATCTGGCTTCTCCCACACCCCTAGTGTTCAGCTGGATAGGCGCTAATGAATCCTAAAAGGCCATTGCACGCTTCCCTAAGACAGCAGAGACATTCAGCTTCAACAAGCAACCCTCCAGAACTGTATTTCCAGAACTTGATGTTAGGATTTTTTTTTAACTGAAATTCAAGACTTCTTTTTTGTTATTGTTGAAGGTGAGGTTACCAGTAGGCTCTTTAAATGTATGTCTAAGCACTGGTGCCTCAATACCAGTAACTGTGGCACATTCTGTATGTAATTTTTTAGCATCTTTGCCTTGAGTGTGTGGCTCCTGGAGCCCCTGCCGATATCACCGGTCCTGGCTTGGGCACAATATACGGGCTGAGACCAGATCAGCTGGGGAGTGTTTCTCATAGCCCACTGACGACCCAATCGAAAATAGAACTACCTGTCGGTCACTCTCATACCCTCCTGTTGCTTTATTTTCTTCGTAGCATTTCATACTGTCTGGATACCATTTGTGATTTCCACACTTTATAATGTCTTATTTACATAGGAGTTATTTTTACAAAGTTTTTCATGTATTTCAGATGGAAGTCAGCTTTTCCTTATTATTTCATTTTTTCCCCCTCTTTATTCTTAAAGGAGGATTCTCTGGATCACATTTCAGACATGGAAGAAGTTTACCAAATTTATGAAAGAGGAAAGAGTAAAGGAAGAAAGGCGAGAGCAACTCCGTAGAAAGGTAGCTGAAATTCTTCCAGACTTCCAGAGGCTAGCACCATGGTGACTAGTAGTTGTATGGGCAATTGGATACGCGGCCCTTGAGAAGTCTGGGCTCCATGATAAAGTCTTAGTAATAGAATCCCTGGAAAAAGAGAATCAACATTGTAATGTTATGTCTATATTATATCTATGAAGAAAGTGGACCTCAAATGGCCATATTTTTGTATTATTGCTATACATTGGGTTCGACAACGCATTTCAGATGTCATATTTCTTTTACAGCTAATGTCCTAAAGTTTAAGGTTTCAGACTGGTATTATTTTATTAGCACTTTTAAAAACTATGAGTTTCTAGGATGGAATCTCGACTGGGCCATGACGTGTGTTACTGCCACCCACCCACACACAAACCTGAGTTATTTTCTGTGAGCTACTTCTTGGATCAAAGGAATTCTGAGAATTTGTACTTTCTTCTTTGACCTCTGGATTGCTAGTTCATTCACTATAGCACTTATCACAGTGGGATCATCCAAAAGAACGGTCTAGAGCTCCACTGTTTCCATGTATCCTATGTATTTTTAGCATAGTAAACTTTAAAAAGGACAAGTGTTTGCCTGCCTGAGCCTGTGAAGAAAAATGTGTCCTTACAGCTTAATGTGAGCTGTTGATAAATGTAACATTAAACAGAAATAAAAAGTAGTGAGTACCTAGAAAAGGAGGCATAGCTGGTCGGTCTTCTATACCTTAGCATCAGTGCCACACATACCAGACCCCGTCCTTTTTGACCACCCCTGATGGCAAACCATGTATCAAAATGTACTCTACACACTACTGCAGGGAAAGCTTATCCTGATTTCAGAGAAACTGGGGCACCAAAGATACTTCTCTTCAGTGCACCTTGATAAGCGTGAAAGAAATCCCAAACACTAATAACTCTATCAAGGACAATCCAGCAACATATTAAAATAGCTCTTCATGCTCCCAACTGCAACTTCTAAGTAATACACATGATTTGTCTTCTAGTCCTTAGCTCAGTTTGAACTAGATGGTGAGATATTTATCTTGAATTCAAAGGATGTTTGAAGCTTTAAGGTGATAAAGATTGATAAATTGCTCTCTTCTGTGAATTGTCTTAGAGAATTACCTGTTAGAAAAAAATGTTTTTTCATTACAAAATGCATGTTATAACAAATTCAAGTAATCCATAAATGCACCAGTAAAATGAGGAAGTCCCTTGCAGCTTTGAGGCAACTGCTATGTGGTATGCTGAAAATCTGAGTTGGTAAAATAAAATTCTGTGGTTTTTCAAGTGAATATTCCTGTTGTAGTCTGATACTTCCTAGAAATAATATCTAGCTACATCACCTGCAAAATGACATATCCTTTTTCATCCTTTATCCTTTTTTCATAGAATATGTATGATTAAGATATGTTGAAACACCCTGAATTGACCTTCTTTTATTTCTTCTACAACATCCCTGTCTCTATCACATCCTTTCTTTTAATAGATTATACTTGTCATCTGAAAACTCGAGTGTTAGTTTTAAAACTAATAGCCACCAAAGAAAATGGCAGTAAAAGTAATTCATACTTAATCTCTTTCCATCTAAATCACAATATGTTTATACCTAACTATAGCACAGTTACAGAATATTGGCCGATATTAGCATCTGGAAACCAAATGCCAACTTTATTTGACTGCCAAGCCTATAGATAAGGAAGGGTGAATTCCTTGATTAAACATGCCAGGTCCTAAATAAATCTCATAACTCAGGTTTTCTTTCTTAAGCTTTGCTTTTTTGGGGGGGGGGGGTGGAAGGGAGAATGCTGCTAAAGTGATTTTTTTTTTAAATTTATCAATATACAATGTAGTTCATTTTCATGTCCCTTTACCAATTCTCACCTCAAGCATCAACTAGAAACTGGGTCTTCAGCAGCTCATCATCTGATCAGGACAGCTAGACTTTTTTACCTACTTACAGAACCTTCTAAAGAGATATAGGAAAATAATTTTGGGCCGACCCCATGGCGCACTCGGGAGAGTGCGGCACTGGGAGCGCAGTGACGCTCCCGCCGCAGGTTCGGATCCTATATAGGAATGGCCGGTGCGCTCACTGGCTGAGCGTGGTGCAGGCGACACCACACCAAGGGTTGCGATCCCCTTACCGGTCATGAAAAAAGACAAAAAAAAATAATAATAATAATTTTGATGCTGTTTCTTGCTGGACTATCATGAAGATATGATTTGAAATGTTACTACTAACATAATGCCCAAATAAGCAGTATCCCTGACCTACAAAACTGGAAAAATAACCACCAGGAAAATGAGTTTAGGGGTAGGGACAGGTCCGTAAGATGGAGACATCTAGTTAACCAAAGAGGCAGCATAGCATAATGCAGGGGTTTCTGCAAAAAGAGTTCAGGAGACACACCAAGAAACACCCACTATTTTCCTTAAAGAAAGCACTTTATTTTCCATTTAAACAACTTGGTCTCAGGACACTATTTTATATAAATGGCAGTAATATGTAAAATTCCATTTAAAAGGCCTTGTATCTCAGTCTGAGGTGGTAAGAGGATATAAATACAAGTATAAAAACAGTGCAAAATGTTTAGCCCATAGCCTCCAGAGTTGGCTTCAGAAATCCCCTTTAAAGTTGCTGGGCCAGTTACAGTAAATAAATATTCTTGGGTTTCCTTTAGTCTAACATCAGACCCAGAAATGTAATCAAATGGAAATGCTCAAAAGCCCTTACTACTCAAACCATCAAATCACCCAGACCACAGGATCACAACGAGTTGAGATACAAGCTATTCTATGACATGGCACCTAGTCAGTGGCTCCATCTGAAGAAATACAGAATTTTAGTTGCATCAGTAACTGGAATAGACTAGTCCTGGTTTTAAAGCTTTGCCTTGTAAGTATGAGTTTCTAGAGATGATAGGTGCCATCAGGAAGGCTAGAGTTCTAAGTCACAACTCAGAGAGTCACAGGCTCTAAGAAAATTGTCTCCATTAAAACATTCAGCCTTTGGCCTCTGCTGATACCACAGTGAAACTCTTAGTGCCAGTTGAAGTGTGGTGTCCATTAGCAACAGAATTAAATTTAGCTGATTCTGCAAAAAGTTTATATTAATCACAGCAAACATCCACAAGAACATACTGAATTTTACTCGGTATTAAGTTTAGCAGGGCTTTCATTCTCCCTGCATCGCCTTTGCAGTGTTTAATAGAAAATGGCAAACTTGTCAAGCTGCTGCTGAGAAGACCAGATTCCAAACAGGTGCCTCAAGCAAAAGTCTCATCATCCATTGTTTGTTTGAGAAAATTCTCCTTTTCAAGATGCAGGGTACCAAAAGATGGCTAAAATGGAATTAAGCCATACAAACCTACTTACCTAAACAGACTCTTACCCCTCACAAAAACATTAATTTTTAAACATCCTGGTTAAAACTGTGCTTGTAGATGTCATATTTTTTGCTTATATTAGTTGAGCTTTATAATAAAAAGCTAATGTCCTACCCAAGGGAAATACAGTCTGTTAAGCAGATGGTCAGTATTATGTAGAACCTTACTGGCATTGTGTTTTCTGGCAGTGGAAGATTCCAGTAGAGAAAATTTTCTCTTGCTAAAAATATTAGAAGTACCAAGGACTACTGCATAAGAGAAAGTTTGTAGCAATCTTTCTGCTAGGCAGATGGCACGGTGGAAGACAATTACTTCATTTACCAAAGGAAAACACTACTTGGATAGCAAAGATTTACAATATCCTAAACACAAACACATGTGTAGCTGAGGTGAAACAACCACCACATTGTCCCAAAAACACACTTAAGGCTTCAAAACTTTAGCAGCATTAAAGTAACCTACTAAAGAGGCATTGTTAATGGTCAGTTCATTTCAGCAGGGCTCAGCTACAACCACAAAGTACTCTGTAGGTATCATAAGAAACATTTTAAATATTGAAGGATTTCCGCCTTTCATGCAATCCTGATCCTTAACTGTTTCTCTCTTGAATCTTTCAAATGGGCCCATCCCTCTCCCCCAGGAATAGTGGCGTGATAATAATGTAAGTGGTCAGAATATAGTAGGTAATTTATTAATCTCCACATACAGTATGTTTAATGGACAGAGGCTGCGGATATGAAGTGAGAGAAAGGGACCAGGTTGTTTGGAATCACGTTCAGGGGGCTTGCTCCTGTGGCCATGAGACTGCTGCTATATGTATATTTATAAGTTCACAGGGGAATTCTCCACTGCTACCACCACCAAATGTTTCTCTGCAACTCATTCATCCCCAGAGGCCTTGTCCTTTCAAAGACTCTGCAATAAATTCTTTTGCCCTCTGGAGAAAAGAAATAAGGCCTATAACGAAATCCCTTACATAGTTCCAGATCCTAAAAAGGCTCAAAAGTCTAGGAGTCTAGACCAAGGATGTCTCAGAGCCTGCAGAAGTGTGTGATCACGGATATCCCCGTGTTGCTGCTCTTTGGGGTACAAACACTTCAGAAGGCTATTACCCCACAAAACTGTGCATCTTTTGACAGGTTTGAGCTTTCTTCTGTAAAATAGCAGTCATGGGTACTCAAGGAACTTAAAACAAGGATATTAATTCCAACATGGAAAAATAGAATTAAAAGATATGAATCTTTCCATGAACTTTTTGAAGTACCTTTGTATACAAGGAGTCCCTATCCAAGTGAGGAAGACTGAGTTGCCAGGAAAACTGGGGAAAACCAGGTAACCCCATTACAACTAGGGGTGAGTGGTTATTAAGACAGTGCTCATTCCTAGTTCTCCCAAATGACTTTGGTCATTTTGTTACTACTCACCTTCATTACGTCACATTTTGAATGCTGATAAAGATTTGGCAAGAGACTTACTGACTATACTAATGTTTATTAATTTTTATTAGCAATTGCTAGGCAGTCAGTGTTAGCTGGCATTCAAGGGACATGACCACTACCAATTTCTGCCCACATGCTGTCCTTGACATTATTACTATCTCTTATCTAAAACTTATACAGAAAGAAATTAGTTATATCTGATCCAACTTTCATTCTAAATTAATATTCAACTCTGGGCAAGGAAGAGGGCATCACTGTAGAAACCACAGCATCTGTTAACGTCCCCAGGCTTGCTCTTTGGCTCATCCCAGTGGAATACGGAGCCTATCATTCGTTAAACAATCCATCTCTGGGGAGAGCAACAACAAGCCTGAATAAAAACATGGTGACCGTCTTAAGGACAGCCCTGATTAATGACAAGACTAGGGATGGTGCTAGCTACAGAGGGCAGAACTACAGGAAGTAGCAATATTTCCTCTCAAAATTTATAAATCTCTTGCTAAAGAAGCACGCACAGAATGACTGCAAAAGCTGGGAATACTTCCGCATTTTAAGCTCTAAGCCAAGGGAAATTTAAGGACTAATGAATTATCTCCGGAGTTGCAAAACAGTACATGTATAAAACCAAACATTTCAAGAATGTATATTCCCCATCTGAAATTCCCTCATCTTAATTATATGGCAGAATGACCCATTCTATATCTCTTATACATTTTCAGTTTTGAGATCTGATTAAAGGAACAACCTCTTATTTTGGAAGAACAGCAACCCATTAATTAGTGGAAACCACATATACTCTGTTTCCTCTCCCAGTGAGACACCCTTACTTAGGGAAGGGCAAATGAAAAGTAACGTGCAAGCTAAGTGGGAATATGTCGGTCAGTTCCTCTGGTTCATGCCAGAATAATGTGAACGCCAGAAGACTGAGTTTTGCAATTCAGTGTTAAAACTGACAGCATTTGAAATACTACATGCACAAAAACGTCAAGCCCTTGATATTAATCAGCTTCTCCACCTGGGAAAGAGAGTAAAGAGTGTTCCCGGAGGAGTGACTGTCCTCCTCCTCCAGCTACTGACACAAGTGTGCTAGCACCTTACCAGGTGAAACATGGAAAGAGGAAGAAATCATTCACACCTACTGGCGTTATTTATAGTAAATCCAAACAGAACACTTAAAAAGCAAAAATAAGAACTCATCACTTAAACTCATGACCACCATACATTACACTAGCAATAATTATCTTTATAATTGTTATTAATTGTCCTTTCAAGGTCAGACAACTAACAACAATCCATCTGGTCATCTTCTATCCTGTTTTGAGTAGCGAATGTCTAATACTTAAGGAGAAATTTCCATAACTGTACAACATGGTATATGCTGAAAATCTGACTACCCTAATAACACTGGCTTCAATGTTCTGACCTACACTTTTCTTCACTCTTAGGATGTTCCTAATAATACTTCCTACCTCGGTGGTGCTTCGGTTGTTTTTCAGTGCCTTCGTCATCCCTCGTGCCTCATGTGGCCCTCATGACAGCTCTGCAAGGCAGCCAGGGCAGGCATCAGTACCCCACGTGACAGATGAACCTGAGACTTGGGAAAGTGACTCAACTAAGGGTCACATGGCTATTCAGAATGGAAAGAGGGACTAGAAACTATCCCAATCCAAAACTCTTTTCCCTATACTAATGGACAGGGATTGCTTCTATCAATTTGTGCACTAGCAATCCACATCCTTTTTGACTTCTGCTGAGTCAATTAATAAGGTGACTGGAAAAGAATAGCTCTACTTTACTGCTTCAATATAAAATCCTCTTGAGTTGTGAAGTCAGAAAAATTAACATCTTCCCAGTCCAGTCTCTAAACCTGAGCATGGCCCTATAGTGCCTTTAAGGAACTGGGGATAAAAATGAATGTCCTGCGAGGACACTACGTGTAAGATGGAAGGGAGACGGAGGGAGGAGCCGTACAGAAGGCACTTCAGACGATGTCTTCGGCAGGGTGGTGGAAAGCACGTGTGCCCAGAGTGGAGAACTGGTGCCAGTTCCGCAGGAGGCCCCGATTGTACTGGCCGGTGTCCACGATGAGCCCGCACAGGAGCCGGCGGCCAGTCTTCTGGCGAAGGGCCTGCTGGACTTCCCTCTCAGTCACATTGTAGCTGATGTTTATCAGCTGGATCAGGAAGATGTAGGCCATACCCACTGTGATGATCACAGAGTACCACACGCAGGTGAAGGACAGAGCTGAACTGGGAGGGGGGGAAAGGCCAGTCGGTCATTTTTGTCACATTCAGAAGGTTGTCACCAGTCTAACATTTTATACATTTTTACTTATTATTAACAACTGTGTCCTTCCCCAGTCCTCTAAACTATAAGATACTTTTCTATCCTCAGAATACTAGTAACCTGCTTACTTAAGGAGAAGTTCTATTTTAGTTTATAATTATTGGTGCCTCCTTTGCAATATGTTATACTAGAATACCAAGGAATGTTTTTCACGTTTTGTATCCTCCACACAACCAGCACAGTACCTGAGATAATGGTGTTCAACACGTTTGTTGAATGAATGAGTAATTCCTAAATTGCACCTAACTTATGAGGGAACAAAGGCACCATGATATTTCTATAAATGTCATTTAGGAAACTGTAGGTAGGAACTTAGGAACAGTGCTAAAGTTATGAATCTCCATTCTTTTCAGTCCAATGACAATGAACATAAAGAATATAACTCCCAACACCAGCAGCTCTTTACTTACTTCTAAGACCTGTAGAACGCCGTAACGTTTCCAATCCAGCTCCCTAAAGCCAAACTCTCACATAGGACAGGGAAGCTCCTTTCAGGCTCATTAATGAGACTGCAAGGAGGGGCTGCCAACTGGCATCTGCCATTTGATTATTTTCATTCAAACATTTGCAATTGAATAGTTGGAAATAAATTCATTCAGAATCTTCATTTGTAAAGCTGAAAGGGACCTCAGAGATGGTTAAATCCAAGGACCTCGCCATAAAGATGAGGTGACATGAAGCACCTGTGCAGAGTGCAGGGCAAACCAATGGCAGGTCACTGAAGTCGCCCCACAGAATGCACAGATGGCTCTGCTTTAGGACATGCATCGTGCACAGTGTTAGTGAACAATTTCACCAACTAATAAGACTCTCCGCATAACTAGGACAGAAACTTACCATGACAAGGAGGAAGATCTATTCTAATTACACCCATAAATGTCTAGATCTAGAATGGCAATGGGAAGATCTATCCACAGACTAATAAACAAATGCCACACAGGAGTACTATGTACAGAAAGCAGGGATTGTGCTGAAAATGAGCGAGAAGAAAGAAAAGGACTGATCACAGACCCCACTGAGCACCCACATCAGAGGAAATGGTAGAGGGAAGAGAACAAAGAATATGGAACAGTGAGCCTGTGGCCTTCAAGAGACAGGGTGACTGGGGCCAAGGCTGAAGAATCCCAGCTTCTGCCATTGCATGGAAATCTTCACAATATATAGAGGGCCCCCAACCTGACAATGCCTAAGGAAATTTTGACCTAGATACCATAGTAATCATGAGCGGTGATTAAAGAAAATAAATAAATAAAATAAAAAGGAGAACAGTAAAACTAAGAGAGGTTAAAATGAAAAGAAAGGTTACAGAGCAGGTGAACACTTGCCATGAGGGTCGGAATTAAGACTGAGTTAAAATGCACCAGAAAGCAGCAATGAAGTGAAAGAAGTTCCCTGGTATTTATGACAACATAGCCACACACATACCTTGGAACTACTAGTGTTTATTTATTGTTTTAATTTCATTGTTTCCATCCTGGGCATGTGAGTGGTCATTTGACACTGGAAGTCCCCTAAGCCTGGTCCCGTTTGTAGGGTACAGGCTCCTCACTTTTTAATGGTCAATAATCCTTTTGATACTACCCTAGAAAATATGCACATAACCACTGCACCATGTTGTTGGCAATCTCAGGGATACTCAGCAAGCATCCCCATTGCCTGTCCTATGCTGTGGTTGAGAACTCCCAACCCAGCAGCAAGTAACAGCCCCTGTTAATGGCACATCCATTACCTCCTCTGTGGGCCTCTACACTGTGGTATCCACATCTCACCTGTAATTTGCATAAACTCCAGGACAATAGAAGAGCGCTGTGAAGACACTTCTATCTCTACAAATGGTGTCCAAGGTGAGCGTTATTCCATACCCCGAGGTGAGCAAGAAGATCAAAAGGGCAAGTATAAATGCTTGATGATTTGATTCTCCAACGCAGCTATTTATCCTCCAAACAGCATGGGGGAAAAAGTAAACACATTTTTAAAAGTTCTCACATAATAAATAAGAAAGCTTTTAAAATATGGACAATGTGAAATTCAGTTATTAAAAAAGTCAGTTCTCTTATTTTTCAGTTTTAGGGAATTAAAAAACTTGTCCACTGAGGGATGCAGACTTACATTCTCTGCTCTTTGCAAGGTAGAATCATGCCATTAGTTTAAGGACAAGACTAAGTAAAAAGCAGAACCTGGCTAACAAATCTCCCTAAATATTATTAAGTAAAAATCTATTACCCAGCTATGGAGAGAGTTAACATTGTCATCACCATGCTAAGAAAAGGGAGATAAACAGCAGAGTTATGATAACTTAAAAATGTTAAATCAGTATTACATAGTATGGGAAAACAGATGTTAAATACATAAAGAGTAATAAAAAGATCCAAAGAGGTTAGAAAAAAGGTGGAGGACAACTTGATCATATGCAGGCTACTTGTCAGGTAAAAATAGTTCTGTGTCACAGCCATTTGTAGGGCAGGATGTACAGGCAGTCCCTTCTGCCCACTGCACACCGGGATGCTTGGCAGGGGACAGAGATCTTCTTCTAGGTGAGGTTGGCAGGACCTCTGCAAACCAGCATTTGTAAATAGGCTAACACACACATGGAAATAAATGATGAGGACGCAGTAGAATATCTAAAAATAAAAACACCTGTTTACTCCTAAAAACAAAGTCCCCATCCTGGAGCCATGCACTTGAGGACCATGCAGACCTCATCACCCTCTCTCCTATGTCCCCTTCTGAGGGGGAGGAATTCTACATGATCTTCATTAGGCAAAATAAAAAAGCTTAATTCATTAACCACGACTACCTAAAGAGCAATAAAGCTGCAAACATGTTACTTAAGCATTCACGTCTGAATAACTTATACTTCCTTTAGTTTAGATTTACTCAATAAAGCTGCACCATTATGTATAAACATCGCACTCTATACTGTATGGGCCTTACTTGTCTTCCTTTCTCACTGGCCAGCTGGAAGGTACAAAAGCAGCCCATTTCTCCACAAAAACACAAACGGTTATCCAGCAGGGCCTCAACTCAATAATGTTGAGGGAAAAGCATTGGTAGCATCAAAAATGATTAAGGATGTATGGTGAGAGGACAAAAGAGCCACCTAAAAACAGGGGTACGCTTTCTTGAACTCTGTTCAAAAGGAAGAAATATGCCTATACTGATTCTGATAAATTTTTCTTTAAAAAATGATTCAACTGTAGATACTTCTCTAGAAAGATGACGATAAATGAAGAGCAGTTCAAAAGAGGAAAAAAAAAAAAAACCCAACAACTTTTATTCTCCTTCAGGAAATGACTGAAGGAGCTAAATTTGTGAAACTCAAAAACGGATGACTAAGTGGGAACATCCTAAGAGCCCACAAATATCTACAAGGTGTCAAGCTGAGAAAGAGAGAAATGTGAGGAGAGCACAAAGGAAGATCAAATACGGCTGTGGCTGTAGAGTTTAACATGAGTTTACATTTTCTGAGCCTCCAGACTTTTCCAGCATACCAGACACAATGGTGATCCATTCTCCTCACACAGACACCGCAGATCCGGCAATGCCATGCCCGGGCCGGCCGCAGCAGCTGGCACTTGGCACACCAGTCCTCCTTCACCTTGGCAGGGCTTCCAGCCAACATCCTGGAAGAGCCCTTCGGATCCTCCTTCAGCGTGCGGTTGTTGAGACCGCCTGACGTTTCTGCTCCCGGGAATGCTTTGGTCCTGTCCTGCCCTTTTCTGTACAAGCATTCGGTTTGGCTGCTGCTTAGAGATCTGTCAACATTTGCTGGACTGCTGAGGTAGCCTGGATTCCTCTTGGCTCGGTACAAGGCGAAGAGTATCAGAAATAACCCGCAGGTAAGAACAGCCAGCTGAGCGGGCCCCACACGCCCTTTGGGGACCACTTCCTGCAGGAACACATAGTACATGTAGCCCAGAGAGAACAGTCCAAGGCTCAGGAAAAACCGAGTCTGTTCTTTCCTTCTGTGCGTGAGGTAGTAGTACCACAGTGCCAGCACAGGGAGGGAGGTCAGAACCACCACCCCCAGCAGGAAATGCCAGGAAGCCACGTGAAGGAAGGCAGGCAGCAGGACGAGTGGAGGAATGATGCTAATGTTAACTTTTTTGGCTCCCCGGAGCCAAGGAATTCGGAGGCGATCAGCAATTGTATCCATGATTCTTTCACAAGCCTCTGGCTGCACAGATTTGCACGTAATCCATCTATTCAGAAAGAGCATAGAGAAGGCACTTCATATGGGTTTGCTGAATTAAAAACCACAGAACACTGAATGCCAAACATCAGGATAAATGACAAGAGTCTAAAGGCCAAGCATTTTACCTCCTTATTACGAAAGACGAAACTTCCAGATTCGTATATCATTTTTCAAATAGGAACGAGGATATAAGGTTCAGAAATTTTACAGTCAAGATTATTTCTCCACTAAACAAACACACAGGTATATGCACTCTCTATGCAAGTAATGTTTAGACCTGGGTGGGTGTACAGCCATTAGAATCTCAAAAAAATTCACGATCTAACTGTGAACATGAGATTTCAAGAAATATTAGGTGACAAAGAAGCAACAGTCATCCAATGAACTCTTAATGATCAGACATTATTAAAGAGTGCTCAGAGGAGAGTGAAGACTTCTGGGTGGAGTCATCAGAGCAGTGTTTGAGGAAAAAGGTGGGATCTGTGCTTCACCTTGATAGCGAGCTAGCTTTCGTATGAGTGAAGGTGGGAGAGGGAAGTAACCCAGTGGAAAGAAATGTGTGCAGCACAAAACTTGTCCTGACCCAGAAAGTAAACCAGTCTAGTTAGGACAAGGGTCTGCATAAAGAAGAATGGAGATCAAAACTAGTACGAGTCAAATGACTAAGCTCAGTGAACAGAACAGTATTTGTTGACTTTTTTGCACACTTAGACTATACTATGGTCTGAATGTCTGTGTCCCCCCAAAATTCATATTTTTAAATCTAATCCCCAGTGTAATAGTTTTAAGAGGTGGGACTTTCAGAAGGTGATAAGGTTTGACAGCATGAGATAAGTTGCCTTATCTCATCCCTTCTGCCATGTGAGGATGCAGCAAAAAGGCACCAACTACAAAACAGAGAGCAAGCCCTCACCAGACACTGAATCTGCTGGTGCCTTTACCTTGGACTTCCCAGCCTCCAGAATTGTAAGCAATAATTTCTGTTGCTTATAAATTACCTAGTCTAAGGTATTTTGTTACAGAAGCCCAAAGAGATTAAAACAGAGTGCCGATAAGTGGGGTGTTGCTATATCTAAAAATATAAAGCTGGAAGCAGCTTTGGAACTGGGTAATAGGTAGAGGCTAGGGGAATTCTTAAGTGCATGCTAGAAAAATGCTATATTTCTGTGAACATCCCATAAAGGATGATTCTGGTGAGAACTCAAAAAAGCTATAGAGAAAGCCTCAATCAGAGATTACCTAAGAAGTTATGAACAGAATGTTGGCAGAAATATGAATGACAAAGGCCAATCTAATGAGGTCTCAGATGGAAACAAAACACATTATTAGAAACTGGAGGAAAGATCATCCTTGTTATAAAGTGGCAAAGACCATGGCTGACTTGTGTTCATGTCCTAGAAGGCAGAACTCAGGAGCAATGAAATTGGATATTTGGCAGAAGAAATCTCTAAAGAAAGTGTCCAGAGTGCTGCATAGCTTCTCTTTAATACTAATAGTAAAATGTTAGAAGAGACAATTTTAAGACAGAATTTATAATCAAAAGAGAAGCAGAGCTTAAAGATTTGTAAAATTCTCAGACTTCTCAGCCTACCTACATTGTAACAAAGATAAAGTATGCTTGGGAACAAGCACCAAGGGTGTAGATAAAGAGATTAGTACGGATTAGCTCTGTGCTATTCACTGAGATAATAAAAGAACAGCCCTGAAGGCATTTGTTAATGGTTGAGGCTGCCACTCCCATCACAAGCTCAGAGTGCCAGGGCTTTGAGGGAAGAACAATTTCATAGGAGGGGCACAGGATGTCCATGGGACTTCAGGGCTTGCTGCCCAGGCTACCTCAAGCTTCTGCTCCCCATATTCTGGCACAGTGCTTCACAGCAGCCCCAGGTGTGACTCCAGTGGGACCATGTGCAGTACAGGCCAAAGTGGCCACCCATCCAAAGGGCACAGGTGGTAAACCTTGGTGGCAACCATATGGTGCCAACTCTGCAGGCACAGAGTAGAAGAGCTGTACACGCATGGCTACTTCCCCCTAGATTTCAAAGACTGCCCTGGAGTACCTCAGGGGCAATGCCACCACAGAGAGCCACCAATGAAGCAATGCCTAGTACAGCTGTGGGGGCAAGGTCGTCCGTGAGACCCCGGACTGACAGAGCCATGAGCATACCACTCCAGACTGGGAATGGTGTAGGCACCTGACTCTAATCCTGTAGAGCTACAGTGTGGGCTGTGGCCAGCAACGCTGTCGGGGCAGAGATGCCTAGAGCTTTGGGGGCCCAACCTCCCAGTGTGTCCAGAAGGTAGGATATCCAGTCAAAGATTATTCTCAAACCTTAAGACTTAATGTTGTTTGCCTTAGTGGGTTGGGACCTGCCACTCCTTCCTTCCTTCCTATTCCTCACTTTTGGAATGGGAATGTCTGTGCTATGCCTGTCCCATTATTATATTTTGGAAGCACAAAATTTGATTTTACAGACCCACAGCTGGAGGAGAATTTGCCTCAGGATGAATCATACCTCGAGTCTCTCCCATATCTGATTTAGATAATGATATTTAGACCAGACTCTGGGCTTTAGACTTTTTTTTTTTTTTCCTTTTTGTCTTTTTTCGTGTCCGGCAACGGATCGCAACCCTGTGTCGCACCCGTACCGGACTGGGACAGGCAACGGGATCGCAACCCTCGGTGTTGCTCCCGCACCTCGCTCAGCCAGTGAGCGGGAACCGGTCTGTATGTGGGATCCGAACCCTCGGCGGGAGCGCCACCGCGCTCCCAAGTGGCGCACTGTAGCAGTGCGCCACCGGGCTGGCCCTGGGCTTTAGACTTTTGAGTTGATGTTGTAACAAGTTAAGACTTTGGGGCTATTGGGATGGAATGAATGTATTTTCCATGGGAAAAGGATATGAATTTGGGGGGTCCATGTATAGAATGCCACGATCTGAATATGTGTCCCAAAATTCCTATGTTGAAACTTAATCCCCAATGCAATAGTTTTAAGAGGTGGGGGGCCTTTAGGACGTGATTAGGTCACGAGCGTGGAGTCCTCATGAATATGATTAGTGCCCTTACAAAAGAGACCCAAGGCAGCTCATTCGCCCATTCCATCACATGAGGACATAGCAAGAAGGCATCCTGTATAAGGAAGAGGGCCCTCACCTGATACTGAATCTGCCGGGCACCTTGATCTTGGACTTTCCACTTTCCAGAACTGCGAACAATAAATTTATATTGTTTATAAAATACCACTCTAAGGTATTTTATTATAGCAGCCTGAATGGACTAAGTCAGGCTAGTAAGGAAAGGTACAGTTTAAGGAAAGATAACTTTGATTCTGGACAGACAATTTTAAAAGGTAGGACTAGAACTGGGAAGTGACTAGGAGATAACTATATGGGAGTCATACAGTGAAAACCCTGGGAGCCTATCTGCAGAGGAGAATAGAAAAAGCAGAGGAGAGAACTCAGGGGACAGCCCAGGTCTCAAGGGCTAGGAGGGAGGAAGAGTTAGCAAGGTTAATGGAAGAGCTGTGGTCTTCAGTGAAGGCAGTTATGGAAACAGCATGATGTCTCCGCTCATTAGTGCAAAGTGCTCTGTTTTCTCAGTATGGATTTTAGACTAAGTCTAAAGGACCTATATTTAAAGACACCTGTAATAAAAGACTACAGACACTGTCAGGAAAGAATTATAAAGGGGTTTTGGGGTGGGGCCAGCCCGTGGCTCACTCGGGAGAGTGTGGTGATGATAACACTAAGGCGGTGGGTTTGGATCCTATATAGGGATGGCTGGTTAGCTCACTGGCTGAGCGTGGTGCTGACAACACCAAGTCAAGGGTTAAGATCCCCTTACCGGTCATCTTTTTTTAAAAAAATGGGGTTTTGGGGTGAATAAGAGTCAAGGTTGGTACTAAACTGCAGTAGTCCCCAGGGAATGCTTTTCATGGCTAGATTAATGCACCAAGCTCTAAGTCAACAATCAGCAATTGCAATGACTTTTTAAACCAGAAGTAATCATTAATGAGAAAAGCAAGTTTCTAACATCCCTATTCTTCCCACATATGCTTTCCATATGCTAACAATTTTTAAATATATAATTATTTAGGAAATGGAAATGGAATTATTTAGCAAATTACTGTTTGATACAAATTCTTTTCAGTGATGTTAAAAATTATCTTTTTGGGGCCGGCCCGGTGGCGCACTGCTACAGTGCGCCGCTTGGGAGTGCGGCAACGCTCCCGCCGAGGGTTCGGATCCCACATACAGACCGGTTCCCGCTCACTGGCTGAGCGAGGTGCGGGTGCAACGCCGAGGGTTGCGATCCCGTTGCCGGTCCCGGTCCGGTACGGGCGTGACACTGAGGGTTGCAATCCGTTGCTGGACACGAAAAAAGACAAAAAAAAAAATTATCTTTTTGGATAGTAACTTCCATCACTGGGATAGTGGTGAAAATAAAAGCCAAATACTATATGATGAATCAAGACAGCGTTGCTGCTCACACTGAAAAGTCAATCCAGGGAGAAGCGTGTGCTTTCTGGCTGGCATTCCTCCCCAGAAACGAAAGGTGAGATCTAGCACCAACAGCAGGAAAAGGATCTTTCTTTTTTTCTTTTTTTTATTTTTCTGACTGGTAAGGGGATCGTAACCCTCGGCACGGTGTGGTCTGCTCCACGCTCGGCCAGCGAGCGCACCAGCCATCCCTATGTAGAATCCGAACCCACGGCCTAGGTGCTACCAGCCCCGCACTCTCCCGAGTGAGCCACGGGGCCGGCCCAGGAAAAGGATCTTTCAACCTCCAAGGCCCGTTGCGTCCAGGTGCAACTCAGTCCCAAGCAGTCTCTAAATGCTGAGACCACTGAGAATACAGAAACTTTCTGGAATTGGCACGTTCATTTTAAACTTACAGATTCTGGTAACTCGCATTTCATTGTTTTATACAATTAACTTGCCTACTGTCCCTTTCTCTATCTTCTCTTTAAAAGAAAAATCATTTCCTAGTAAACTAAGCTGGACAGTTGTGCACTCCTGCGTAATTTATAAAATCCTCCCACTTGACAGAGAAAACAACTCCCAATTTTAGATCCTTAAAAATGGAAAATTCTAGCGTTCTGATGGCTACGCTGAAAGTATATTTGGTAATTCTCAAAAGAGCCAGTGGGGTCAGCATCAAGAAACGCTTAGTTCTTACCTATCGCACCCTTCATCGAGATCCTGGCAATCACACAAGCAAGAGGCCATGTGGTTCTTCTCCCCATTTCGGTCGATGTATTCGCAGCAGCACAGGGGCTCCAATTCAGGCTCTTCGGTTTTTTTCTTCACTGGCTTCATGCTGCCCTTCTGTGTCATGATTTGCACCTGCCACCCCGAGGCGTAAGGGGTCCTCAGAAGGTAAAGGTGGAAAGAACACAACTCATGTCTTGTAAACACATCCGCGCCTCTGATTAACCGCCAACGCCTGAGCAATCAAAAATGACAAGAAAAAGGGGGATGGGGCCCCGTTTTCATTAGGCTTTTGTGGCTCTGCCTGGCCAGACAAGTGGCTCCAGGGCTCTTGGGACCCCAGGCTGCCTTCCCCACGCCTTCCCATTCGGGCCAGCAGCCGTCTGGGCACCACTATATGTTCCCATAGCGACAGCCGGGGCGCGGGCGGTTGCGCTCACCTGCGGGTGTCGGCTGGGGAGGGCCGAGCCGTCCCCGCCCCGAGCCTGGGCGCTGGTGGAAACTTACCCTCGGGTTGCGGGGAGAAGCGCAGCGTGTGCCCGCGGGCACCGGTGGACGCGCCCGGCTGCTGGGGCCGGCGAACCGGCTCCGGGAACGCTCCCGGGCTCCCGCGCAGCGCTCCGGTCGCCGTCCAGCCCCGGTTCTCCGGCGCCGCGCAGAGCGCTCCTCCGCCCCCGCCAATCGGGAGGACGTGGGCGGGCCTCGAGCGCCGCCCCGCCCGGAGAATGACCTTGGCGGGGAAGTTACCTGCCCTCCGGCCGGAGGTGCGGCGGCAGTCAAAGAGGCGGCGGCCAAGGGGAGGCGAGTTGGCTCCTCCCCAGGCGCGGACACGTCTCCGGATCTCGGCCCCGCGGAGCTCCGGGAGTGTCGGCTGGAGTCTCGGGAACCCCGGCTCCGCTCGGCCGCGCCCTCTCCGCAGCCGCCCACCTGTGACCACAGCCCGCCGCGGCCCGGGCTGCAGCGCATCTGCCTCTCACGGT